TATACCCAAAAGGTATTAAAACAATTTTACATGGATAAATCTCACTCTGTGAGTACACCAATGGTGGTCAGATCCCTTGATCCCAGTAAAGATCCATTTAGGCCAAGAGAAGAAAATGAAGAAATACTTGGCCCCGAGGTACCATATCTCAGCGCTATTGACGCATTAATGTACCTCGCAAATTGTACCATGCCAAATATATCTTTTCCAGTAAATCTACTGGTCAGGTTTAGCGCATCCCCCACAAAGCGCCATTGGAATGGTATCAAACACATTTTTCGTTATCTTCAGGGGACTCATGACCTCGGTTTATTTTATTCGAATGAATCTCGAAATGAATTAATTGGTTGTGCTGATGCTGGTTATCTGTCTGATCCACACAAAACAAAATCTCAAACTGGTTATTTATTTACTTGTGGTGAAACCGCAATCTCTTGGAGATCTGCTAAACAGACAATAACAACTACTTCTTCAAATCATGCTGAGGTTTTAGCAATTCACGAATCCAGTCGTGAATGCGTTTGGTTGAGGTCCATGACTCACCATATTCAGAAAAATTGTGGCTTGATTACCGATGATAAATTACCTCCTACAATGTTATATGAAGATAATGCAGCTTGTATAGCTCAATTAAAGGGAGGATATATTAAAGGCGATCGGACAAAGCACATATCTCCGAAGTTCTTTTTCACTCACGATCTTAAAAAAGTGGTGAAATTAATGTGCAACAAATTAGATCGTCTGAAAATTTTGCAGATTTATTCACGAAGGCGCTACCGACTGCAACATTCAACAAACTGGTGCAAGGAATTGGAATGCGTCTGATGAAAGACATCAAATAAAGTCCAAAACAGAGAGAGCGCATTAATACAAGAATGATGTACTCTTTTTCCTTTACTATGATTTTTTCCCACAGGGTTTATTCATAGTAAGGTTTTAACGAGGCACATTCTTTGTACAAATGCATCCAAGGGGGAGTGTTATACACCAAATAGATGTGTATGCACATACGTCGACACTACATACATCAAGACGTGGATGCATTTATTAACACTTTGTACGGCGATCATATGTCTATATATATATATATGTATCAATTGTAAATGAAATCAGATGAATGAAAACACTCAATCTTCCTTAGTCCACTTTCTTTCTCAGTAGCCCTTTCTCTCTATATATTATATATTATTATAATATATAAATATTATATACTAATATATAAGTACACATATATACATACAAACATACAAATATCATAATATTTATTACATAACATATATTTATTTATTTATTTAATATTTTATAAGTAAAATAGATATGAAATAATTTTGGCATAAATAATATGTAAATTTAGACATAATTTATAAAATTATTTGTAATAATACTATTTAAAAAAATAATAATACAAATTATTGATAACATCAAACTATTATTGGAATCCTTGTAAGATATCTACTTTGAAAAAATCATTATCGATATACATCAAACTATTATTGGACTCAAGCTAATTATAAAAAGGAACCAGAAGCTTTTTGTTCAAGTTGAAAATGACATACTAGCAACCGTTAGTTTAGGGGTTAAAAAATAATTTTTACAGTAAGTGAAAATGATTGAATACTAGGGATGTGAAAGGTTATGATTTAAACTTATTTAAAAAAATTTCAATAAAAATAGTTTATATATTTTTAAAAAATATCATATTAAAATATTATTTAAATTAAAATCAAACAAACATTATGTAAGAATTTGTTTTACAAAGAATATATTTTTTTTAACTGAAACATAGAAAATTATATAAATAATATAAAAATAATAAATGTGTATAATATATTAACTTTTTAAAAAATAAGTTATACTTTCTTTCCACGGTACCAAAAAGTTTGATCGAATTAGAGTTAAATCACTCTTTACGATCGGGTTTGTTTGTTTTGTATTCGAACTCTAAATTTTTATTATTTGGACTCTGATGTTTTCTGAAAAATAAAAAAATAATAATTTCTCTAACAAAATATCTCATGATACATTATTGTAATACTAAATTCAAACTAATTTTTTTTTTTTTTTTTCAAATCCATCAATATGTTTCTTTAACCCCAATCCTCAAGTTTTTACTATTTGAAGTTCCCGAAAAAAATATACATTTTTCTCTAACAAAATATCTCATCATACAATATTTTAATACCAAACTCAAACACAAATTTTCCAAACTATATATATAAAAAAACATATTCATTTTATATATATATATATATTTATTACCATTATTATTTTTTCATTTCGGACTCACATATCATCAAAATGATCGACAGCCTTGCCTTTTTTTATTTAAACTTATCTTCAAATTTAAATAAAAGTCAAATTCAAACTCAATATTTCTCAAACCACTTTAAAGGAACACTTAGAGGGTGTTTGGTAAATAATTTTTTCAAGAGTTTTTAGCTATTGAAGGGCTTTTAGTTGTTTGATCAGTAAACCAGCTAATTTTGGTGTTTGGTAAATTCGCGTTTTCAATTAGCTTATTGGGTCCAAAAAACTAATTTTGAAAATATTGTATATACCAACGTTTCAAATTAGCTTTTTTTATTTTAATTTTTTTTATTTCTTATTTGCCCTTAAAATTAATTAATTCTTTCACATAAAATCATTTTTTTATTACACTATTTTATTAATTATATAGATATATTTTTTTTCTAATAACTTATAAATTCATATTTATAAATTTTAAATAATTATTTTTTTATATGTCAATTATTTTATTTATAATTTTTTAGAGTAAAGATAATATAAAAATATTAATATTGTTAGAATCCATTATATAGTATTTTTTATCACATATTTTTTTTTTAAAATAAATATATTTATTTAAAATTATAAATTTAATATAAATATATATTAATTAAAAGTTAATCTAATAAAAATACATATGTTAATAATTTTTGCTCTTTTATATCTATACTATTTCTAATGCAAAAATATGTATTTTTCAATAAACATGCATTAATTCTTTACAAAATATTTTTTAAAAACTAATATCTTACTAAAAAATTTCTAATTTTTAAAATTAATAATAAAATTATAAAAAAATTTACCCACCGAAAAAACTCAATTAAATATTTTAAAAATAAAATATAAAGTGTCCTTAATTATCATTTTATGTATAAACAACTAATATCAAACCGATATTTTACCAAACACTTTAATACAAACAACTAATCGAATAATCTAGTCAAACTAGCTAACATTTAACAGCTAATCGAATCAGCTAACAGCTAACCGCTACCACCTAATTACCAAATACACCATTTATATTATTTTTAATAAAATATTACTTATAAAATATTATACTAAAATTTAACTTTTATAAGTCTTTCGAAAAATTCCATAGCTAAAATTTAGTCATAATCTTTTAGAAAAGGGTTTCATTTCTTTCTTTAGACTAGAATACCACAGTATGTTTTTTTAACAAAAAATAACCACATATTTTTCAAAAATATTATTAATACATCAATCATATTCATTATTTTTATTTTCTACATAATTTTTTATACTTCATATCAAAAATTACATATTCAAATTATCTCATAAAACAAACATCACCCAAAATTTGCTTGATTTTGATTTTAAATTATTAGTCCATATAATTATTAATAATATATATTCCATCTGTCCACTTAGAGTATTGGGAGATTACAGTATACATGAAAATTTAGGATAAATATAACTAGTAAATAATTAAAATTGTATTAGTAAAAATAATTATATTATAGTTTAAGATTAAAATAATTAATTAGTCTACTTAAAATTAAAAAATTTAAAATAAAATTGACTTATATAATCATTTTCCAAATAAAAAATGATATAAAAAAGTGAGACGAACAAAAACAGCAATATGGACATAATAAGAGAAACAGAAAAAGTAAATTTAATTTATAAAATATATTATATTAAATGTAAATATTCTGATTCGGTTAGCGGAATTAAAAAAAAAAAAAATCAAACGGGTGTTTGAGAAAGAATTTTTTGAAGAACTTTTAACTTATTAAACAACTTTTAGCTGTTTGTAACTTAAAAAATTAATTCAAGTGTTTGATAGATTAGCTTTTATAAAAAAACTTTCTTGATCCAAAAAACTAATTTATGAAAACTAATCTAACCATCGTTTTAGAAGAATTTTTTTTACTTTAATTGTGTCTATTCCTTATTTAAATTTAAAAATTATTTATTTATTTCGTAAATATAAATATATTTTTATTGTAGTATTTATTAATTATTTTAAATTTATTTTATTTACTCAATTATAATGTTAAAATTTAAAATAATTACTATTATTAACTATCATAACAAATTATTTTATTTATAAAATATATAAATATATTAAAATTAAATCAAATAAAAAAGACAAATATTATTAATTTAGTTATATATACGTTTTATTATATAAAATTTGCATTAAAGATAAATAAAATATAATAAATTAATAAATAATAATTAATATAATAAAAATATACATACTAAATTTATTCATTTATATTTTATATTATTTTAATAAAAAAATTATTATTTTTTTAATAAAAATATTTTTAAACCTAAAATAATAAATAACAAAAAAATTTTAACCAAAATAAATAAATAAAATATTTTAAAAAATAGCATATACATGTCTTTTTATTGTCATGTATAAAGAATTAATGTGAGATTATTATTTTACTAAATATTTTAATATAAACACATAATTGAATCAGCCGGTCATCGACACCTTAACACCTTAACGGTAAGTTAAATAAGTTAAAAGATGTATAACGTGTGTTGATTTGATATTTTGAATATAAAATTAATTTTAATATAATATAAAAAATAAAAAATAGATAGTTTAATTTAATATTTTTAAGAGAAAAAAAAAATTAGATTAATAGCTTAAATCCAATCTAATCCACCGAACAAACACATCGTAGAGTATTTGTATAAAATAAAAAATAAATAAAACACGTAAACGTAAGCATACCGTCAATTTCCAATTCCATCCACGCTTATCTTCGTCAACAGCGTAATTGAACTCAGTCCACCACTCCCACACTCCGCCGTTGCCTTCCCTAGAGAACTTCACCATGGCGGACCACCAGCACACCGCCGCCGGTCGTCCGATCAAAATCATCGCCGGAGCCGACGCGTTCGGCTGCACGCTCAAGGACGCGCTCGTTACCCACCTCCGCTCCCTCAACATCGAAGTCGATGACATAGGAACTTCCAAATACTACTCCGTCGGCGAGGAAATCGGCCGCCGCGTCAGCCAGGCGGCGGCCAACGCCAACGCCAACGCCAACGCCAAATCCTCCGCCGTCGAAGTCCGCGGCCTCGTCGCCTGCGGAACCGGCGTCGGCGTCTGCATCTTCGCCAACAAATTCCCCGGCGTCTACGCCGCCACGTGTCTCACCCCCAACGAAGCCCTAAACGCCAGATCCATCAACAATTGCAACGTCCTCGGCGTCTCCGGCATGTCTACTCCGCCGGAACTCGCTACCGAGATCCTAACCGCCTTCCTCAACACGCCTTTCAAATCTCCCTGCCCTGCCTCAGAATCGAAGCCCTGGCCAGACGAAATCGAGTCGTTCCTCGACGGATCCGTCGCCGAAATGTCTCAAATCGGAGCCTCCACCACCACCGCTGCGGAATCGGAACCGCCGTGCTTTATATGCTCCTTAGCGAAATCGCGGCCGGAAAGCGAGTTCACTCCGGTGGAAATCATGCCTGGCGGATCGATGAAGATTCTGAGGCAGACGCCGACCTCTGCCATCGTTAGATTCAAGCGCGGCAGCGTTGAGCCGGCGCACCACCACACGTTCGGGCACGATCTGGTGGTGATTCAGGGGAGCAAGTGCGTGTGGAATTTGACGAAGAAGGAGAGGTATCGATTGGAAATTGGGGATTATTTGTTCACTCCGGCAGGGGATGTTCATAGAGTGAAGTATTATGAGGATACCGAGTTCTTCATAAAATGGGACGGGCATTGGGACTTGTTCCTGGATGAGGATCTGGCGGCAGCCAATTCCGCCATTGATGAAGAAGCTTGAGAAATTAGGGATTGCGATGTGAATAACCAAATTGAGTAAGCAAGGAAGTGCTTCGTCCTCCTGCTCTGGTATGTGTGTGTATGTGTATATGTATGCATTGCGGTTGTAGAATTGTAGTGTGGCATGGCTAAAATAATATTTTATTCAATAAGCATAAAGTATTGCTGGGATTTGGGAACATTTAGTGCTGTTAGCGAGCCTAGTCAAGTCGAATTTTAAGAGCTTGTGTTCGTTTGTTAAGCTTATGAAGAAGATTTGTGTTTTTTTTGTTAACCTTTTGAGTTCATAGTATTCGAGCTCGGCTTGTTAAAAATTGTAATGTATGAACTCGTGTTTGTGTTCGGCTCGACAGGGCTCGATTAAGTTTGTTCAAGCTCGGTTTGTAAAAAATTTTAATGTGTGAGCTCGTGTTTGTGTTCGGCTCGATAGGGCTCAATTAAGTTTGTTCGAGCTCATTTGTCTTATTTTATTTTTTTTATTTATTAAGACATGCAAAGACTATAATTTATATAGCAGAGCTGTTAACGAGCTTTGTCGAGACAAACTTTAAGTGTTCGTGTTCGTTCGTTAAGCTTTCAAGTTTGTTCGTAGTATCCGAACTTTACGCGTTAAATTTTTTTTAATGTTTGAACTCGTGTTTGTGTTCGACTTGATTAAGCTCGTTCGAGCTCGTTTGTCTTATATTTTTTTTTTCTTTAATTAAAACGTGCAAAACTCATCATTCATAACTAAAACCAAAATAAAAACACAATCAATTAAAAACTTAGTTCAACACAAACTTAATTCAACATAACTAACACAATTTAATTCAAACTTAATCTAACATAATGTAAACAATTTAACAAAAACTTAATCCAACACAATTCGACTGAAACTTTATCCAACACAAACTTAATCTAACAAAATCCAACGTAAATTTAACCTAACACAATCCCAAACAAATTTAAATGAAAATACAATCTTTTCAAATAAAATCATGATACACCAAATCATGAATGCATCAAATGATTGTATCTTTTAGGACTGAAAATCTATAAATATTAGTATATACATATGTTAGAATATCTAAATATGAATTAAATATAATTATAGAAGAAAATAGGTACCCGAACATGAAATCAAGATACGCCATTAAACCAAATGCAACAAACAATGATATCTTTAACGTTAAAAATCTGAAAATGTTAGTATATTTAAATATAAATAAAATAGAACTATAGATCACAAGTAGAAAATAGATATCCAGAATAAGCTACCAAATTGCTAATTCATCAAATAATTAGGTCTTTAGCTTTGAAAATATGCAAAAATAATAAATACAAATATCAATATAAAATGGCTAAACTAAATACAACTATAAATATAAATTTAAAAATGTTAAATTAAATTACAAGAAATTATTTATTTCAATGATTCAACTTGAAAATTCAATTTCGAAAATTTCTTAGCATCCAACTATTATAATAAAATTCAAAAGTATATCAATTTAATTTGGCATAGAAAAAATTAAAAAATAAGAAAAATATTATATTTTTAAGGAATATATATATATATTTTTAAGGTCATGCAAATTCTAATTCAATTATTGCCACAAGTAACATTTGCACCGTATCAATTGTTATAGAAATCCAACGATCATCAATAACTCTACCACCGGCACTGAACATAGACTCAAAGGCCACTGCGGTTAGAGGAATAGATAATATATCACCTTTCATCCTTGTCCATACTAGAAACTCAATCATATCTCTTTCATTCAAATAAATATCCAAATCAGATTTTTGTGGCGGGCCTTTATTAGACTTACTCACGTGCATATGAAACTTTGTTTTTCCGGTTAAAACTTTATTTCCAACCCTACTAGGTTCCAAAGAGTTATAAGTCGAAGACCCTCAAATTTCATAATATTTACGCTTCGATACAATCATAGGTCACTCTTCAGAAGTGTAATCGTGATATACTCATCATAAAAATCATACAAAATCTTTTTGATTTCACTCACATAAGTTGAAGCTTCATCATCACCATATTATTGAAAAAGCAAAATCAATAAGCTTCATTTTATATTTTTGATTTAAAATAGCACCCAAAGATATCAATAGATTACTGTCTTTGCAATACTTGTCAAATATCTTTTCAATTCTTAATACCATAGATCTCATATGAGAAGAGTGATGTGTGGATTTTTCATTGATTTTTCATTAATCCGATATAACCCAGGGATGAAAATATAAGCCGTGGATATTCAGACCCACAAATCATATTTGTAATCTCGTGAAAAATTTCTAAAAAATGGCAAACATCTTTTATTTGACTCCACTCAAATTTAGTCTGCACACAACAAAATCCAACATCAATATCAGCATATTTAGAAAAAAAAATCTTTAAACTTTAAAGTTGAAGCTAACATCATATAAGCTTACTCTATCGTGTTGGACAATCAAGAAATAACTTCTTCGGAGACATATAGAGTTTTTTTTTTTTTTTCTTACTAAATTCAATTAGATGTGCTTCAGAAATATACAAATACTTTATTTCAACCCGAACATAATTAACCACAGAACCAATCTCATTAAGACCATCTTGCACCAACAAATTCAGAATGTGTGCACAATGAACATGAAATATCTTTATCCCAATACTTAATTATTTTCTCAACAACAAATCATTTTTTAATCTTTTCACACACACATCATTGTAAAAGACATTATCAATTGTAATACTTAACACTTTATTTTCAATTTCTCAATTAATGAAATATTTACTAAGTGCGTCAACAATAATAACATTTGTATGTAATGGTGGAACATTACAAAAATTCAACATTCTTTTGTAAGACTAATTCGAGAGGCCACAAATTGTTTCAAATCACTCGAAACAACTCGAATTGGGGATATGAATATGTAACCGAATCACTCAAAATTACACTTAAAAAAATGCACAAGAATCGCTCTTGAAATAAAAACCAGTTTATAAAATATCTTTGTTGAATGAATAATCCTTACAATGATAATCATGAGACCTTTTATAGAGGAACCATAGAAATTAAAACAAGAAAGCACACTCTTAAAAGAAATAAAATCATATAGGAGATATTTATTATAATCAGCCTTATTAGTATTATTGACCCATAATTCATGGAAATCCTATGATTATTGGTAATCCCTTGATCTATGGAATTAATTCATTTAGAGGATATTGATTCACGGGATCCCTTCAATTAGGGATAATAATTTAGGGGAGGTCCAATGACTTGTAAGGTGCTCCTAGCCTTATGGTCCTTGGGACTTGTGGTCCAATTTCAGAAGAATGCATGGTTTATTTTGATCATCGGTGTAGAGTTCAGCAGTTGCATCCATTTAAAGTTTGGCACAGTTTGTAATTGTCAATTGAAATTTACGGGCTCTGCTCCTAGTGATTGGTCCATGAGGAATTATAATTTGGTCCGATTCTATCATGATGATCACATCATCCCCCCTCTCTTGAAAATGTTGTTCCATCAACCTCTCGTCACCTACATCAAACGGAGACAAGTCAACAATATTAAATGTAGCATGAACATTATACTCACCTGGGAGGTCTAGTTTGTAGGCATTATCGTTGATGCGTTCAACGACTTGAAAAGGACCATCGCCTCGCGGGGACAACTTAGACTTGTGTTGTTCCGGAAATCTCTTTTTTCGTAAGTGAAGCCACATACAATTACCGGGTTGGAAGACAATCTTCTTGCGGTGACTATTAGCAGCCTTGGCATTCCGCGCATTGGTGGCGTCAGTTTCCTTTTGTACTGTCTTATAAAACTCTTGAATCTTTTGTGCCCAATCCCTAAAATTAACATTTTGTCGCTCACTACATGGTAGTGGCAATAGGTAAACTGGAGAAAGTGGGTTGAAACCGTACACTACTTCAAAAGAGGAAATGTTAGTAGCACTATGAATAGCATGATTATATGCAAACTCAATATGAGGGAGACAACTTTCCCAACTACGCAAATTCTTTTTGATAATACACCTAAGGATGGTGCCTAGGGTGCGATTTGTTACTTCCGTTTGACCATCTGTTTGTGGGTGATATGTAGAAAAGAGAAGTTTCATCCCTAATTTTCCCCAAACGTTTTTCCAGAAAAAGCTCAAGAATTTAGTGTCCCTATCAGATACAATCGTACAAGGAATTCCATGCATTCTAACTACGTCTTTGAAAAGCAAATTAGCAATATGCATTACATCATTCGTCTTATTGCAAGGAATAAAGTGAGACATTTTTGAAAACCTATCAACAACAACCATGATAGAGTCCTTACCTCCTTTTATATGAGGTAGCCCCAAAATGAAGTCCATACTCAAATCTACCCAAGGTATGTCGGGTGTAGGCAGGGGCGTATATAAACCATGTGGTAGCATTGTGGATTTGGCTTGTCTACATGTAATGCAATGCGTAATGTGTTGTTCCACGTCCGCGCACATCCCTGGCCAATAAAATTTTTCCTGCAAAAGTTTAAGAGTTTTGGTGGCTCCAAAATGCCCCATGAGTCCACCTTCATGAACTTCGTGAGTTAAAATAGTGCGAATAGAACCTTGTGTAATACACAACTGGTCAGTCTTATATAAATAGCCTCATGCAAATAGAAATCTTTAAACCCAGTGTTTGCACATTTATTGAAGATGTTAGAAAAATCTTTATCCTTTTCATATAATGATTTTACATGTGAAAATCCTAGCAATGGAGAAGTCAAAATAGTAAGAATGTGAGTGCGCCTAGAGAGTGCGTCAGCTACGACATTATCTTTTCCCTTCTTATATTTTATCACATAGTGGAATATATCAACAAAAGCAATCCATCTGGCATGCCTCTTATTTAGTTTAGCTTGAGTTTTTATATGCTTAAGGGACTCGTGATCTGAGTGGATAACAAATTCCTTTGGCAAAAGATAGTGTTGTTATACCTGAAGTGCACGAACCAAGGCATATAACTCCTTGTCGTAAGTTGGATAGTTCAAGGTTGCACCAGCTAACTTCTCGTTGAAGTATGCAATAGGTTGGTGATTCTGCATTAGAACGGCTCCAATGCTCACACCTGAAGCATCACATTCAAGTTCAAATGTTAGTTCAAAGTTCGGGAGTTTAAGAATTGGGGCATGAGTTAACAAATATTTCAGCTTGTCGAAGGCTTGTTGTTGCGCTTCTCCCCAACTAAACAGTTCATCCTTGCGAATAACAACAGTGAGAGGGGCTGCAATAGTGCTAAAATCACGAATAAACCTTTGGTAAAATCCCGCCAAACCATGGAAACTACGAACTTCACGAACAGTAGTATGGACAAGCCACTCCTTGATGGCTCTGATCTTCCCTCATCGACTTGTATTCCCTGTGCGCTTAACAATATAGCCAATAAATTAACAACTAGAACCACAAAATGCACAATTTTCAATATTTGCATATAGTTTGTTCTGTCGCAATAAAGCGAACGCTTCTCTCACATGGTTAATGTGTGCAGAAAAGTCCATACTATAGATCAAGATGTCATCAAAGTAAACAACCACAAACTTTCC